TAATTGTCAACTTTCTCAACTCCATTCATTAATATATAATAGAATTTTAAAAGGTCTTACTATTTGATTTACTAACTTTTGAATGAATATTTTTTTGAAAGAATAGAACAATCATCAAGTAGAGCTTATTTTGACTATCATATTGAAAGAAAACATCGATCACATATATTCATTATCATTTGTCTTTAATAAATTATATAGATTTAAATCGTGTTTAGAACTTTATGATAGTGATTTGATTTAATTTGAATGATTAGCAAGTCGTATGTCATATCGCAAGTCAATCGAATGCTATATTTACATTGTTTGAATACTAATTGAGTTGGCTTTCTCTTTGAACATCATTCATTACCATCAATTAAACGACTTCTTTGGAAAATATACTATTAAAAATTAATTCGCCGAAATTTTCTATGACTCATTTCGTAATAAAAGTAACTCATTTGACAGAAAAGAAATTGAAGAAGCATTATCTATAAGTTCAATATTTTCCTTATGATATCTGATACATTATTGTTATTCATTGATTTAATGGAAATATAAAGAAAGAAAAATTCTCGAATCTTAACTCTTTTTGTAATCATTGTTTCGTTCTTTCTTTTCTATTTTCGTCTAAATAAAAGACTAGCAATCAATAACTATGAAAAAGAGACGTAGCCATATTCCATGATTCCGAGTTTTTTTATTATATACAAATGTACATCAATATAGCTTCAACTATCTTCCGGAATTTACTGGTTCAAAATCTGAGCAGTCATCCTATTCCGCAGTGTTGAACATTTCAGGAACCAGTTCCGCTCCGGAATCGATTCCGTTCAATTCCGGGAACTCGATCGACACATAATATCCGATACCCACTCAAAAATTGATCGAGTTCCGTCCAATTCCGGAATTGGTAGGAATTCCGTATAATTCCGGAATCGGTAGGAATTCCATGTAATTCCGTAATTAGAAGTAGTTCACGCAATTCCGGAATTGGTGGGAATCGGTAGGAATTCCCAGGAATTCCGTCCAATTCCACTGAATTCCGTCTTGATGCAATTTCCGGAATTCCGTAACGGAATTGGATCGTATTCAGACGGGATAACTTATCAGCACAACACAATAAATGTGGGTGAGGTGGATGGTGTGATTCCGGTACGGAATTCCGGAATCGGAACCAATTCCCGGAATTGCGGAATCGGTAGGAATTCCGTGCAATTCCGGAATCGGTCGAACTCGATCAATCTTGACTGGGTGTCTTATGTTGTGTGTCGATCGAGTTCCCGGAATTGGACGGAATCGATTCCGGTGCGGAACTGATTCCTCCAATGTTCAACATCGCGGAATAGGATGCATTCTCCAAAATCTTTCAAAATTTGTCTATAAATCCTATTATACATTGTATCATAAAACGGACGAAATTAGATCAAGAGAAAACATCGTATTAATCGCTTTCCTCTCGCTCACACTCAAAATAATTAACTTTTTCAAATAATTTTTCGATACAATCGAAGTCTATTTTATTTTTGTTCTAGATTTTATAATTTCTGTGTTAAAAGATAAATATCTGACAATTTTGCGCCGAATAAAAACTGTTGGCGATGTCTATCCAGACAATGATTCAACACCACTTTTGCTTTGAGGATAAACAACATTGTTGAGTTGAACATCGAAATAACGTATTAATTCGCTCAATTTTCTATAATTAAAGATGAATTAATTTTACATTTTGTTGATAACAAACAATTCACTTACTGTTTTTGTTCTTCAAATGCTTGTAGTATGCTTTGTTCATCAAATACTTGTGGTATGTTTTGTTCAGTATATATCTCTGATTGATTATCCGATCCAGAGTCACTTTCGAGTTGTTTTCGCAAACGATTATTGGGTTTTATAGCTGTTACAGGCCAATAAAGTTCGCCAATATGTATAAAACCATCTTGAAGAATAGTTTGTGTGTATTTTGATGATTCGAAATCGATTTGAATTCGTTCTGTTGGCACTTCTGATCCATTTGTTTGAAACCATCGTTTGACATATTTAATACCAGGGTAAGATTTTGATAATTTTTCTCCGAATTCATTCATAAGAATTTCTGTAGAAACATCATGGACAAGAATTTTATTAGTAACTACATTTTCAAGATGATTTTGAACATTCGTACTTGATTTTAAAGCCTTTACTGGACAACGAAGATTACAGATGTCAATAAAACCATTTTCAAGAAAAGTTTCGGTATGTTTTGGTGATGTAAAATCAATTTGAACAAGTTCATTTGGAGTGTTATATTCATCATTCATGTACAATCGTTGAACATGTTTAATACCATGGTAATTTGTTAACAGTTCTTTTCTGAGTTGATTCTCAGATATCGTAGAAAGAACGCCGCGAGCGAGGAGTCGATCAGTAACTTGTATAGTTGTCATTGTAATAATGATGTATTCAAATGTTGACTATTTATATATAGTTTCACTCTTGGTTTTTACCTCTTGATGATGTAAGAAAGTATACACATGACATCAGACTATTTTATTTTCTCGGTAATCACCGTAGATTACACCATATATGCGACAGATGCAATAGAAAAATATTGCATCGTTTTGTGAAAGAAATTCAGTATGGTGAGTAATTCTACATTCTATTCGTCTGAATATTTGACACGTGTTTTCATTGCTTCAAGAGTCTATGATAAAATGTAATTTTTTCGTTCTTTCACAACAAATATTATATACGATTTAAAAATAATTGTAAAAGATGAAAAGACACAGAAAAAGCGTTTTCATTATTCGTTAGGACCCATTGCGTTTTGACAGAAAAAGACATTTCACTGTGTCTTCACGAATTTCTTAGAAGACAATTGCAGTATTATCTATGGCGAACAGCCAAGATTTTGCAAAAATATGGATACTCAGTTGATTAGATATCATTATCCCACATACATGAGGTTGTACTAGTGAAGGTAATTGTTGGTGTAGAACAAATAGAATACTCACTCACATCCTTTTTCGTAATATTTGTTTTTCGATATATTCAAAGCACAAGAAAAGAACAATTCAAATCATCTGATTCATGCATTTTAGCACTAACAAGAAAGCGAAATTTACATAGTTAAGAAACATCTTGACAATAAGATCTTTGTGCTGCTTAATGTACATGGAAGACACCAAAAGTATCATAGCCTATACAAAATTAATGCGAAACAAGTAACTATGAGAAAACTATTGGTGCGTTCACAAAAGATTCATGCTGTTAATCAGTCGTATAAAAATACACGAGGAAAATAGGTCTATGCGTTATCTTGTTCTAATCCAAAACAGTTTATTATTATCAATTTTTTAACTTTATATGAGTCAAGCAAATGAAAGACAACATAGTATTCAATAAACTATTGTTCTCTATAAAATACGAAAATTTTCAACTGATATTACATGCTTAGAACTGTGTGTTTTCACTATAACTACTTAATTTAAATTTTGTAACCAAACATATTTTCTAAAGATATATAAAGAGTAATGTACTCAATAAATGGATGTGTAGAGAAGAATAATGTTAAAGAAAATAATTTGATACATTGAGTATTAAAATGATGGAGCTGGTTTTTTCCAACTGTGAAATGCACAAATGATACTTTTACTACCGTTTTTGGATGAATCATTGCAATTATTTATCATAAAAAGAAAAGCAAAAAAAGGTAAAAGTACGACTTTCCGTCACATGTTTTAACTACATCGTCTCGATAGTGTATACACATTCTTCTATTCTCTTTCTTCACATTACAAATTATGATGCAAAGCATGGTAAAATTACTTAGATAAAATTTCTTTTTTTTTTTATAGATAGACATGAATCCAATTAAACGATGGTTAAATGCTTATGACTCATCTAACGAGAAAAACAAGAAGTTAAAGAGCGATAAGTAAGAAACAATAGTATACATTTAATATTATTCAATTTTTCCTTATTCGCTTTATAGAACAACAATTAATTGTTTAGAAAATTTACCAAATGAAATTTTCTATGAAGTTTTTGATTATCTTGATGGATGTAAATTATTCAATGCATTTTCAAATCTTAATACACGTTTTCAATATCTACTCGCTTGTACATCTATTCGACTAAAGATTCGTCTCACCAATGCGTCAGAAACAGTCCTGCAGTATCTATCCGATCATATAATCATACCAAATAAACATCGAATTGTTTCCCTCAACCTAAGTGAAGATTGCAGGTATTATTATCCAAATTTAAATCTATTTGATATTGACTCCTCATTCATTCGTCTTGAATCACTTCAATTATACAATATTCAATCGAATCAACTTATACCTATTCTCATAAGTTTAATATCGTTAAACCGTCTATCATCATTGACTATCGATTGTAATGATGATGATCCATATGATATTGATAATATATATCGAATGATTTTTAATTTGCCTATATTAAGATATAATAAATTATCATATTATTCATTTGATTTGCCTATTCCTCTATCGATTGCTAGAAACACACAATTCAGTCATATTGAATATTTAGTTGTCGATCATCGATGTACTTTAAATGAATTGATTGTTATACTTTCATATACACCTCAACTATGTTGTTTAGCTTGTCGAGAAATCAATGAGTCAAATGAAGACGATGACACAAAACATGTACTTAGTACGATATTCAATCTGACTTATATTTCTATTGGTAAATGTCATGCAAAATTTGACGAGTTGATACTATTCATTACAAAAATATCACCACAATTACAAGTATTACATATTACTAGTAGTCAAGATGTGACTTATTTGGATGCTGATCGATGGCAACGATTAATTTCACGATATTTACTTAATTTACGAATATTGGAGTTTAAATATGAAGAATTTATTGATGACGATTTAGAAGTAACTCTTTATCATGAGCGACTTGATCGATTTTATTCATCATTTTGGACAAAACGAAAGTGGTATTTTAGGCTTCACATTGATACGGGATATTTGTTAGATGATTTAATTGTTTATTCTGTATCTTCAGTCAGGTAAATTAAGAAGAAATATTTTTATAGATATTTTTTTTGTTTCTTATAGGAAAAATTCTATTAGTGATATGGATCAAAATATTTCTCTTAATGAACACGACGAATCTATTTTGTCGTTAGAAGTTCTTTCTGAAACTAATCAATTAACCATTGTTGATCTTCCTCATATTGATAATGATCCGTCGTTGACTGTCACTATAGGTCCTATTTTACTTCTTGTACCGATTACATGTTTAAATATCACTTGTTGGGAGATTTTTATTGGTTCATTGATTGAACTTGTGGCATGTTTACCTAATCTGAATTCATTAGTAGTTTCATCTTTAGCAATGATCAAACCAAGATGTTTATCTGTGGAAGAAACAATAACTCTTCGTTGGTTATCAGATTATAATACAATTTCAAAAGTAAAACTTCACCGCATGAATGATCTGGCAGAAATTCAATTTCTTTTTGACTTATGTTCTTTCATGGAATATTTGGAAGTGGATTGTACAGATAAAATCTGTCCCAAACAACTTCTACGATTTATTTTAATGAAAAATATCAAATCTATTCCTAAACTTTCTTCATTCTGTTTTGGAATTTCAATTACGAAAGAGAATATAATCGATCAGTTAACAACAATGATTAATCTTGAACAATTATGTCATAATTATACAATAAAACAGATACAAAACAAAATTTATTTACGATGGACTCGATGATACTTTCAGTTTCTTTTTCGTTATTAAATTCTTAATAAAATTACTTAAGATCGGGTATGATGGAACCACGTCTTTAATGCAAGGGTGTGAGTTAAAAATAACACCCACCCATAAGACATTGATGTTCATCATTCACAAAAAATGTCCATTGGTATTTCAAAGAGTGTCTTTTTTTTAACAAAAAATAGTTCATATGCCACGGGCAGGAATCGAACCTGCGTTATCCGGACCACAACCGGATGTACTACCATTATACTACCGCGGCGGAAATAAATTATAATAATATTTTTTTCGTTCTGTTTAAAGTTTCATATGATTTTGTTAGTAAACAATCACTATAATAAAGCGAAAATATACGATAATTGATGTGAGTATGACTAAAGAGAAGATAAACGTACATCCACACCCACATCCTTTCAAAGTATTTTACATTGACAACGAATAAAGTTCAGTATAAGTATGAATTATCTAATTTATTATTTAACCTATAGACACACCCTTTACACATTCCTTTTTTTTATCTCTATAATTTTTTGCTAATCTATACAACATACTGTTCCATGCCTTTTATTTTTACTCAAAGTTAAAGTAAATCTAGGAGCGGAGTTCTATTGAACTTCATATGTATATAAATGATTTAAAACATATCTTTATCCATTAAAAATTATGGAATGTAAACTATAAACATCAAACAAAGAATAAAAACTAGATTGGCGCCACATATCTACCTACAAATTATTCAAAATATAATTGTTGTCTATGAGATTGATTATATGTAGTTTGTACGAGATTTCAGCGAAAGCAAAATTCACTCTCCATGAAACAGTGACATATCGACTCTATTAAAACATATGCTTTTCGTTTGTTTAATCATTTTCATCGATAAAGAATAGAATCTATAATTTCCAACAAAAGTGGGTGAGTGTAAGTTGGAAGAAAATGCGCTCGCGTCCATCCACAGATGCTTTCTGTTAGGAAAAATAAAATATTAAAATATTTCATCGAATATTCTTTTATCTTCAGACATACTAATTTTTCATTATTGAAGAATTCCTTTTTTTTCTCTTCAACATTTAACTATAAAAGACTAAAATGTGTTAGATTCCAGGTGAATTTTACTTTCATGTTTACAATAACATTTCTTTTGTATTCTTCACCTTCAATGTTAGTTATTCGTTCTGTACAATCTTTCGCAATCAGATGTATACTTAAAGAAAAATAAAAGAGAAAGAAACTTTATAATGTCATGGTTTTATTAAACGAATCATTGGCAAAAAAAAGAACATTCAATCGCATACCAACACATACAATCTTATCTGAAAGTGAAAAATTATATTTATTTTATCAAAATTTATTTTTCAATTAAACAATATCATTTTAGTAAGTTTTATTTGAATATTACCTTTAAACGATAATAACAGTATTTGAAATTTTCGTTTGTTTTTAAGTTGATTAACTAAATAATAGATTATGAAAATATTTTCAAACTAATGATCTAGAACTTAAGTTGTATTGCAATAATTTTATTTCAAAGAGTTTTGAGTAGAATTGTTGCAATTTGTAGGGTACGTGAACTGCGAATTAGAATAAACTTTTTATTTATCAGAGTCACTGTAATTTGTAGAGGACACGTGTAGACAAAAACTAAGAAAACACCTAAACTCTAACAGAGAATTCAATGTATCACATAGACTGAAATTACATAAAATGATTTTGTATTGTTAAAGACGTGATAATGTTATAGCATGAGCAAGCATTGTGAAGAACAGAGAGAAAAAGAAAAAGAGAGTGTATTAATAAAAGTGAGAAGAATGTTTTAGCAAGGTTTATTACAATTTATATAATCAGTAATCAATATGCCTAATAGAAAAAATTCTTATCAAATTCAGTATTTTCAATGACATAATAAAGATTCTCGTCAGATTTAACAAATAATTTCTTATTGCAATTTAGCGAGCTCTATAAATTACAATGAAGCAAAATAAAATTGAGTAGATTTATATAGAGTAAGTTCAACCGAAAATAAAAAAAAATAGAACTTGATTCTAAATTTTGGTCAAAAAAAGTGAGCTCGAAATTTGGAGTTTACGACTTTGTGGTATTTCAACAAATTCCAACATTTAACTCCACGTTTTTTTTCTTCAACAACATCGGTCGATTCAGAGTATCCAAGAGTATTTATATGAGCAATCAGAAACAGACGGTTCAAGTTCTAAGCTGAGATTTTCGTTGAAAACTAGACATCCGTAAACTCCAAATTTCGAGCTCACTTTTTTTGACCCTAAATTTTTATATCTTGTGTATACCTGTGCACGTAAATACTTTCTTCATCCTACACCCACCCCTCAAATCTTATGACATATAGAATATTTAGTATTATAGAATTATTAATAATCACATTAGTTTATTTTAAATTATTATTCTACGTTAAAGTAAAACTAAACATATCTAATTGTAATTTTTCTTCATTCCTCTATCTCATCGAGATAGTATACATTATGTACCATGTGTGTTCGTTTAATGTTTCTTTCTAATTGCTTATATCTCTCACTTACAAGAAAAAACAATGTGTGCAATCAGTCATATCGCTATATACACATTATGCATGTGCATGCACAAAGTATTCAAAATATGAGTAGTGAGAGGTGCATGAAGAAGAAGGTCGAATAATAAACGATCTCTATTACAATAAATTCTTTTATATATTAATGAAGATTTTAACGATGATCGACAAATATCTTCGAGCAAGTATGAAAAATTCCCTGGTACTCTATTCGTATCCCTAAACATATATCAGCATCGAAAATTTTGAACTATGGATAATTTTCAAAGTTTTTTTAAGATCTGAAATTTAGACTTCCCTTTTCCAGTCAAATAGTTGTCTTCATAAAAATAATGCAAGCCGACTTGCAGCCTTGGTGCAGATGCATTGCCGGCCAACAAGTAACATTCATAAATAGTCAATTCACTTGACTTTATTATCGGAGTTTTAAAGAAAAGTAATAGGTAAAATGCTTATAGTTTTCGCCATTTGAAAGAGAATACGAAGATCACTTATATCTTCGTCGAAAATAGTGCTTCTCAAAGTAATTTTTCATTATATTGCAATATAATGAACCAACTGGCTACACGAATAAGTGTTTAACTAACGCAGCTCTTTTTTAGATAAAATCTTTACTTACTATCTCAAGAGTTCATGGGTTTTGACAAAAGATTCAACAGCTAATATGTTGTATTATTGATTTTATCGAAACCGAAAAGAATGGGTCAGTTATTCTACTCTACAAAGTCGATGAACGTTCTTTTTTTAATTTTAAATATTTCACAAAGTTCTACTACCAAATTAAAACATGAATTAAAGATATTACGAGAACAGACAGTACAACAATTACAATAGTCAAAAGAAAGAATTTCGTTAACTTAATAATTATATTTCAATAGATATTACACTTTCCATTCCTCAATCAAGTCCTCCGTTGAAGAAAACAGGTGAATAAAAAAGACTTTTTTTTAAATTTTATCCAATGTGTCAAAAATCGATATTGGCTTACCTTATGATCTGTCACAATATCTTTCATATTATATGTATACTTTGTAGATCATCTGACTCTGCGACGCCCGACTTATTACTACCATTCAACTAGACAATGATGAACACGAAAGCAACTCGACAGATTAGGTTTGCATTGATTTTGATAATTGTTATTACCATGTTATTGTTTTATAATGGTTATAATTGCTTTGGTAATACAACACATATATTGTCTTATCAGTTTAATAACGGTGATACAAGTGACTCGGGTTCCAGTGGTATTCCATTACCTGCATCATTCGCCTCGCATTATTCAAGCAGTAATGATGTTCCTTTAAGTAGCGGTGCATTGAATTTATTTTACAGTTCATTCCA